TTGAAAGTGTAATACAATTTAGTAATCCTGTTTTGGATTTTTTATTATGTAAGTTGGGGTTAACTTTAGAGGGAGAGAAAGGGAGAAGGAGAGAGAGATAGAAACATCGATGAGACAGAACATTGATTGGCCACCTCCTTCATGCCCCTCATTGGGGATCTGGCCCACAATCTGGGCATGTGACCAGACAGGAAATCAAAACAGTGACCTCTTAGTACATGGGTCGACGCTCAACCACTGAGCCATGCCGGCTGGGCTGATGTAAGATTTCTGTATGGATTATCTCCTCCTCTTCTTTTTTGCATGTATCCATATTAAGAGAGAGAAAATAAAGGATCCGGAATGCCAAAGCGTGGCATCAAAAAAGGTAACCCAAAAGCCAGAGGGTAAATCCTAGGTTAAAAAGAAATAATCAAAACCTTGTTCTTAACTGCAGTTGTACTAGTGTCTTTCATTTCTTGGAATGACTTGGTAGGTCAGGTAGATATTTACCTAAATACTATAAAAATAGTTGCATTCATGTAGGTGTTTTTTATATTTAGAAGCACTAATGCTGGCTGTAAGATGAAGACAGATATATAATCTTGAGATTTAATCTACTTTCTTAGATTTTGAGTTTACAAATCTGAAGGCTGAAAATAATAAAAGGTTACTAACTCATCAAATAAACAGTGTAGTGTAGAAGAGTTAAAAAAAAAAACAACAAAAAAAAAAACAAACAGAAACAAGGAAAAAGGAAGGTGACCTAAAAGAAATTTAAAGTGGGAGATACACACACACACACACACACACACAAACACACACACACAGACACATACATACATACATACACACATACACATATATAAAATTAGGTAATTTGGTTTCTTAGTTATTGCTATTTCTACCCATTTTCTTCTCATTTGGCTATAACTAGATTCTATTTCCAAGTATTATTTTGTCCTAGGACTAAAATTAGAAATTTGGGTAGAGTCAAGATTAGAACAAGAGGTTATCTTTCCCTGTGTCATTGCAAAGTGCCATGATGGTCTGGCTAAGGGGTTCTTTTGTAATCGTTGACTAATTTTGACTTGATCTAGCTGGCACTTTCTCTTCAAGGACATTGTTGAAGGTAGAAATTTTAAACAAGATGATCAATGATTTTTAAATATGAGCATAGATATGATCTGAGTCACTTAATTTATTTTGAGCCAACAATTTTGTATATTCACTGGATAATATGCTGGGATGTACATTCTAGGACCATCTCTGTACTGTTTGAAAACGGCCACAGATTGACGAAAGGGGTGCTGAATGCATGAATTCTCACCATACATTCTCTTTCTCTGCATAAATAAAAAAATGAAGATTTTATTGCAAGTTTCTCATTAAATTACTACTTTATAATTATTTTAAAATTATAAAATTTTTTATAGCATGTAGCATTAGCTAATAGAAGTGATAAACAGAAACAATAGTACAAGAAAGAGTCAAACTACCGTTGACCCCAATTCAGATTCTTTCCACCTGCCTTTTCTCTGCCATCATTCTCAGGCAAACATTGCCAAGGCCAAACTATCAGTCAACCTTCTCACTGTCCGCCTTGTCCTGGCTTTGCCTCCATCTCTACCCCGTCATCCCACTCGCAATCCTCCTCTACTGATTTTCTTTAGAAGCTTTCAAGAGATCCTCATCACTAAAAATCTGGGTTTCCTAGACTTAATGCCTTTTACAGTTTGAACTATTCCATTCTGTTCCTCTGTTTTGATCCAGAAAGTCTCCACTACAGCCAGACTGGTTCTCTTTGTTACCAGAATATGTTTTCAGTATGTCTGCACTTTTCTTCAGGGATGCCTCTCCTTTTCCTCTCTACCTGTTGGAATCTCACCTGGACTTTAAGTTCCTCCTCAAGGTACATAGGCTCCCTGAAGGCTTCTTGGACGGCCTCAGCCCCTGGGAACTCTTTTGGAATCCTGGAGCATATTGTGCAATTCTGCTCACATTAATTATGTTGTAGTCTGGAAGGCCAGCTATCCCTTTATGTGGATATCTCTTACCCCGTGCAATGCCCCCGTACCCCTCTCTAAACCAAGTCTCATATACCTGTTCTTGGTGGCACTTACATAAATTCCTTATGTAAAGGATCAGTTCAAATGTTTGTCATCTCGCCCTGGCCAGTTTGGCTCAGCGGTTAGAGCGTCGGCCTGCGGTCCGGAGAGACCCGGGTTCGGTTCCCGCTAAGGGCACGTACTTCGGTTGCAGTTTGTCCCCGGCCCTGGTTGGTCATACGGGTGGCAGCCACTCGATGTGTCCCTTCACGTCGATGTTTCTCTCTCTCTCTCCTTCCTCTCTCTCCCTCTCTATCTGTACAAAAAATGGAAAAATATCCTCGGGTGAGGATAAAAAAAAAATGTTTGTCATCTCATTGGTTAGACTTCCTTCATTATTCTCTACCCACATAGTTTTCAATTTGTAAAGTCTATACATATTCCAGTCTATTAACTTTTTCTACAGTGACACTTAAACAAAATCAGAGCCCAATGGAATATGTTGCATTTGCCATGTTTTAAATATCAGAAGAGCACACACCTATTACCAAACATATATGAAATTACATTATGGCATAATTTTAAAAAATATTCAGAACATTAAACTATAATGTTTAAGTCTCTTTTCCTTATGAAAGGAAAGTTACATTGAGTTTTGTCAACATTTTTTAAAAATATGTTTTTATTGATTTTAGAGGGAGAGGAGAGGTAGAGAGAAACATCCATAACTCCTGCATGCCCCCTACTGGGGATCAAGCCCAAAACCTGGGCATGTGCCCTAAGGTTGGATCAGGGACCTCTCAGTCCATGGGACGGCGCTCAATCCACTGAACTACACCTGCTGGGCAAGACCATATATTTCTTCATTAATTTTGGCATGTCTAAACAAAAAACATTTTAAGATATTTTAATTCAGCTAACTTTTGTCAAGTTAGTTCTCATATGTGTATATTTGACTTTTGAGTTAGTGTTAGAAAAGTTTTACAATAAGAATTTTGCAATTAGAATAGGGTTCAAAGAAATATAAGACCCTTCATAGAAGTCTGTATGTGTGCTTTTTTTTTAATCCAACCTACCCATTTACTGTAATTATTTAGTACAAATAAAGATCAGAATTAGGAATGCAAAACATTAAAATTTGAAAGAGGTAAAACTTTAGGTATTCATACATATATTTCCACCCTATTTCATATGAATGCGTTATAGTATGAAGTTCAAGTGGAATTTTACTAGGATACAAGTATTTAATTTTCTAACAATTATTTCAGGCTTTTGCTTGTTTAATCTTATACTTATCTGGTAACTTTGCAAACAGAAGGAAATTTTAAATGGGAAAGATAATAATTAAATGACAAAAATTATTTGAAAAGAAATATTTTTCAAATTTTCCTAAAATTAAAACTGTGTATTTGTTATTATTTTTCTCTAGACTATAATAATTTTCATCTGATAAAGGACAAAACTACAGGATAACTCTGAAAAATAAAGAACAAGTTAACTAAAAGACAAATAAAAGAAAATATACCATATTAAAGTTAACAGACCAAATGGGCACATTTAATAAGGAAAAAAGAAATGGGTAACTGGATCTTTTGTTTAATATTTAATGTCTTACATTAACTTAAGAATTTCTTACTCTAAGAACAATGTTTAGTTGTGTTTTCTAGAAATAGGGAATTAACACAACTGTTGTACTCTAGCATTTCTTCTGATAGCTTATCAGATTGTTCATTCATGTTATAAATATTGATATTTGGCCCTGGCTGGTGTGGATCAGTGGTTAGAGCATTGGCCCATGCACCAAAGGGTTGCAGGTTCAATTCCCAGTCAAGGGCATGTACCTGGGTTGCAGGTTCATTCCCTGACTGGTTGGGACACATGCGGGAGGCAACCAATCGATGTGTGTCTCACATGGATGTTTCTCTTTCTCTCTCTCTCCCTCTCTCTTTCCCTCCCTCCCTTTCACTGTCTCTAAAAGTCAATGCAAAAAATATCCTCCAGTGAAGATTAACAACAACAATTTTTTAAAATTGATTTTCAGTCTATAAATTTTCAATTTTAAAAATTGAAAAAATATATAACATTTTTTAATATACAGGACTGGGCAAGAGTAGGTTCACAGTTGGAATACAAATATACAATAATTAATAGGTAATAATACAAGGATAAACTCTGGGTTTTGTATACTCACAACTGTAAACCTACTTTTGCCCCTCCCTGTGTAAAGATGTATTGAAAAGGCAAACAACCCTTTCTTCTGAATGATTCTTACTATGTTTTTCTTACTTCATTTTCAGAATAAGTCTATTTGATACTTTTGCATAACAGAATAAATTATTTGCCAACAAGTTTTTATTCTTTCTGTCATATATGGAAAGCCAAATAGATTTTTTTTTTGAAAGGGGGGAAATGTCTGTTGAAAAATTCCTTAAAAACTCCAAATTCAGTTGTGCTTTTTCAGCACACTTTCTTTGCAATGATAGCAGTGGTGATTGGGCTTATGATTTCCCACCTCACAGCACCTTGAGTAACTTGGTGCCTTTTGAAAGTGCCTGCCATTCTATCACATTTTCTCTAAGTAAGTCAATAAGTCAAAAGAAAATAAATATTCTTTTGTATAATTAATATTTTCCATGCATTCTGATTATAATGTCATTTAACAGTCTAACTCCATAACTATAATTAGTAGTTGTTTTACTTTTGACTTCAGTTCGTAAAACTTTTGAAAAATTAACATTTCTAGGTGTATCAGTCAACCAGATTATAGGATCTTGATACAGAATGACACTGATCAAGGTAGAACTTTCAGTAAATGAGTATTTTGTTGAATAAAAGCCAAACTTCTAAAAGCAAATAGAAATTGGTGTAACTGATGTTTAATCAAAATGAAAAACAGTAAACTGATTTAGCTTTTCTTTTTTTTTTTTAGAGCTGACGCAAGTTGGACAGAGGGGGGTGTTGGGGCAAGGTGGTGGTGGTGATTGGCTTGTCTCCTTCACGCCCACTGGTCTTTAAATCATTGTCTAGATGCCCAAAGGTTCATATAAGTCAACTCCGTTTCAGGGTTCTGCATTCCAAACAATTCTGGAAAGGCTGCCCAGGACTGGGTGAATGATTAAGGTAAAGTTCTTTGTACAGGAATATATGCAGTGTTAAAATAATTCTTCCTTGCTTCTTTTTATGGTGTTTTTATTACAAATCTAAAAGTCTGAAAATACGATATGAGTAAATTTTTTCTCAATTTAAAAAAAGATCAATTTAACATAATGTCAGACATTGAAATTATTTACCCAGATCCTGATTGCAATTTTCTTTCACAGATAATCTTAGGTTTGAGCATAAAATCAGGACAGTGGATAATAGGAAAGGAAAACAGCACAAACCCAGCAGGTTACAAGGGTGTAGTTATTTACATCTCTTGGTTAATCACTGAATAGAGTGAAGGGACGACATAATTAGTCTTAGGGAAAAATGTAAAGTTTTAGAAGTACATTCTCAATTTGTAACATTGAAGATTTTCTTTACCTTGAAAACAAAAGGGGAGTAATCAAAGAAAGAACATGACATGTAGCAGGTGGGAAAGGCTAAGGGCTTGGGCTGTGTCACTGTCAAATGAAAAAGAAAGAATTGGGTCTCAACTTTTCTTCTTGTGTGACCATTTTAATGGAGTATTTTTAGAGCAAATTTACTAGAAGAAACTGAGAAATTAAATAGTATAAGCATAGCTTTAGATTTTGAAGGACTTATCTAAAAATTGAGCTATACTCAAATTTATTAATTAGATGGGGGAGAATTCTCAGTGGATTTAGGTATCTTTGCATTTGGGGCATCTTACAGAGCACATGGTAATGGTCTTAATGAAATGATCAGGTGATAAAACTAACAGTGTTTTATAACTCAGTGAAAAAAATATTTTGACTGACAATACAGGATAGTTGGCTGAAAGAAGTTTTATTTTGGACAAACTAAATGAATTTAGCTGTGTGTTCTAGAAGAGATTGACATTTATTTTACAGGTCAACCTCTTCTAGTCATTTAAATTTACATTTAGATAATTTTGGGGTATTTTCTTGAAAATCTTTATATTTATACTTTCAAGAAGTATATTAGTAATATATAAGTATTGAGACATGCCCCTTTGGTGCTAAACTCTTGAGTTTTCTTTAACCATGTTATTTAATTTACTTTCATAAAGAAAAAGTACCTGTAGGGGTGGTTCACTATCAATTATATAGAATATACACATTTTGCAATTCACTGTATCCACAATTCATTATAGGTTATTAAATATCATGCATGAACATGTAGAGCATAAAAATTTCACTATGTTAATATTATATATGCTACACATCCTTGTACATTTATGGAAACTACTGTTTGAGGAAATAGGAAATAAAATTAGGCAGGAATTTAAGGTGTTTTTTAATATTTAAGATGACTAAAGAATCCATGTCTTCTAAGAGCAGAGCTAGAACATTTGTAAACAAATAACATACTCAGATTGTATATTAGTTTTTTATACCTCATAAATGGTTGCTTAATTCTTATGTTAGCAAGCATATAATCTTCTTAGCAAAGGGAAAAATACCTCAATATGGGGTTATTTTAACTTTTCTAGTTCCCCCAACATATTATTTCTAAGCTATGTCTAAGTAAACGAAAGGAATGAAAATGCTGTGATATTAATGCCAGCTACAGGGAGAAGTCAAGTAAGTACAGTTCTGTGGTTACTGGCAGTTCCTTTTCTAAGATGTACCTCAGAATGACTGTAGTGAATGCTTCTATGGAAGTTAATTTCTATGAGAAATTACGTCCAAGACTAACAAGCCATCTGACTATCAATGTGTGACTAGAATGGCATTGTTTGGAAAATGGGTTAAAATAATTTAATATAAAAATAATATTAGATTGATTTCAGTGTCAAAGTTTTGTCCATTTATCTCAGATATATTGTGTAGGTAGATTGAAATCAGTTTCTTAGAAGTGGCATGACCAGCTGCATTCTGCTTGCTCAACCGAAGGGTAAATGGCATGTGAGGCTATCTGTCCCCTTCATCTAGATTTCAGAATAGCTTCTTCATGTCTTTTGGCATGAAAGACAAAACAGATAGAGATGGTGGGAAATGCTCTGACCACATTTGCTTTCACTTATCAGGTAAAATAAATGTTTGCAGTAACTCAGGAAGGTCATAACTTTGCCTCTTGACTCAAGGACAGTTTTGTTTCCCAGATTTGATGTTCTTCTTTGAACAACATAAGTAAAATTTTGAGAAATTTGCTTTTTTGAGAATCTTTTATGCTGTGTTTCTTAGGTACCTATTCAAAGAACATGGCATTACAGTGTTTAAAAATAAAAATTTGGATATAAGGAATCAGCTAGTCAGGATATTTAGACATCCCTTAATAAATGTGATGAGCCCTGGCCGGTTTGGCTCAGCGGTTGGAGCATCTGCCTATGGACCAGAGAGTCCTGGGTTTGGTTCCAGTTACGGGCACGTACCAAAAAAATAAAATAAATAAAATAAATGTGATGAAACAAAGTCTTCTAATGCTGATAATCTTCTAAATACTTTTATTTCAAGTGTTGATTATGCATCTTCATGAATGAGTAAACCAAAGAAATAATTCTGCACTGGAGTATCCAGTCTGTGTCTGCAAAATACCTTTGTAACACAGAGCAACTTAACTTCATTGGGAAGAAAAGCTAGATTACACAATGTCCCATCAAATCACATTAGATTTTTCTTTTAAAAACAATTTTGGCCCTGGCCGGTTTGGCTCAGCGGTTAGAGCGTCGGCCTGCGGTCCAGAGAGACCCGGGTTCGGTTCCCGCTAAGGGCACGTACTTCGGTTGCAGTTTGTCCCCAGCCCTGGTTGGTCATGCGGGTGGCGGCCACTCGATGTGTCCCTTTCACGTCGATGTTTCTCTCTCTCTCTCCCTTCCTCTCTCTCCCTCCCACTCTATCTGTACAAAATGTGGAAAAATATCCTCGGGTGAGGATAAAACAAACAAACAAACAAACAAAAAACCAATTTTGAACGTTCATTGGGCAAAGCTGTTCTTCTGGTAACCAGAGGAAAACTTTCCATTTCACTCTGAAATATTAGCCTATGCATACTTGAATCTATAAAGACAATAATATAAAGATGTGTTGGTCTTAGTAAACTATAACACCAGTCATTGTGCTAGATGTTGGGAATATGTAGAGTCTACAAACCAAGCATCATTTCCACCCTCATGAAGCTTTCTGCCTAGTGGAAGAGACAGTTATTTATCAAATAATCACAACTACAAATGTTAAGTGCAAAGTGTGACAAGTACTGTGAGGCAGAGGAGAACATGCTATGGAGGAGTTCTTTCAATGTGAGGACTCTCTGACCGCGTGGCGTTTAAAGATTTTTCAAGTTCTTTTAGTTAAGTTTGCATGAAACCTGGGTTCAGAATGTGGGGAAGAGCATCCCAGGCGGAGGAAACAGCATGTTGAAAGGTTCTGAGGTGGCAGCGGAGTATCCAGTGAGTGAGGGGAGGTGCCATTCAATATGAGACTGAAGAGCTTTGCCTGTGCTAAAGTGTGTAGAGCCTTAGAGCATATTAGGACATTTGACTATATTTTCAAAAGTTATTAGTGAATCATTTTAGGGCCTTTAGCAGGTAGTCATTTGGCATAACAATAATGGTCATGGAGAGAGAAGAAAATAAATTTTAAATAAATACTGAAAGAAGAATTGATAGCTTTTGGTGATAGACTGGGTTTGGGTAGGAGAATTCAGGATAGAGAATGAGAGGTGTCAGTACTGACAGCCAGATTCCCCTCATGAGCAAGGGGTGAATGGAGGTTCCATGTACTGAGATGGGGAACAGCAGAGGAATCTATGGCCATGGAAATTATATTATGGAATATATATACATAATACGTTTTTTTTTATAGTATATTTTTCGATCACAGTGTTTGCCAACATCATTCTTTTCTAGCCTACCCACATAGAGAATCACTGTTTAGTTCAATAAGTATTTATTAAGAGAAAAAGTAAGTGCAAATTATGTTATAATAGTTTGTTCAAAAATATTTTCTCTACTAGACAGAGTTCATCAGGGGCAAGGATTCTGTCTTATTCAAGCTTTATCTTTCACAGTTTCTGACTCATGTTTTATTCTCAGTATTTGTTTAATGAATAAATAAATACCATCTGTAAAATACTTCTACGCTGAGGTAGAATAGTGTGATTAATCAGGAGAATAAATTTGAACAATTCTAATGTAGTTTAAAGGCTTCAGAGTATGAAATTTGTGCTTCAGGCAAATGATTCAGAATATCTAGGTTCTACTTGCAAGGAATCGGAGGCGCCGCCGAATAAAACAGAGAAGAGACTGGAGAGCCAATCAGCCGAATAAACAGGGATCAGGCTTTATCGGGTAGACTCCGGGCGGGTTCACAGACTCCGGGGGTCGAGTCCTAGAAGCCGCGCTCAATGTAGGGGCTTGTGTCTTTTATATCTGCCTGTTGTAGCTGGAATTTGTCCCTTAGGGTTTGGCCCTGCGGGGGCTATGCATGGAGCCTCTGGAATGTGAGTCGATAAGAGCAAGATGGGAGTTAATCTACAAGCTCGAGGCAGGCCGTTCAGGGTGGGAGGCAAGGCTGAGCAAGGAGACAATGGTCGAGCACTTTGCCTGGCGCCAGTCCCCAGGCCATCGGACATTCCCGACTCTGTGATAATGACAAAGGGGCGCAGGTGTCTTTCTGGCTACTTCGTGCTGGACAGGGGCGGCGTTAGGGGAGGGGGCCCATGTCGGCATGATCCGGGCCTGAGGATCTGGTGAGAGGTTGATAATGGCTTAGCATATGATCTCGTGCACCGTCTGGCTGGTGAAGGCCTTCAGTCGGTTTTGTAGTAGGGAGGAGAGCAGTCGCAGGAGACAGGGTCCGAAGGCTAGGGCTAGAAAAAGGACAGTTAGGGGACCCATAAGTGGCAAAACCCAGTGTGCCCAGTTGGAATTGAACCAGGTGCTCCAAGATTGATCTCGCCTTTCCCGAATGCGTTGTGCTCTTAATCAGGGTGACGTCGGGAACAGGCAGGGAGGCGTCCTGGGGGACTATATTGATGTTGGGTTTGAGATATAC